GAACCCAGGAGGGGGAAGTTGCATTGAGCTGAGATCACACCACTGCACTCCAGTCTGGGCGACAGAGCGAGACTCCATCTCAAAAATAAACAAACAAACAAACAAACAAACAGAAAAGACCATAATTAAAACACTTATCAAAAAAATAGGCCAGGTGGTGTCTCACACCTGTAATCACAGCAAACTCCATCTGGAAAAGAAAAAAAGAAATAGAGAATAAACCCATAAAATTGTATGTCTTCACTTGTAAGTGGGAGCTAAGCTATGAGGATGCAAAGGCATAAAAATTATATAAGAGGGCAGGTGCGGTGGCTCACGCCTGTTATCCCAGCACTTTGGGAGGCAGAGGCGGGCGATCACCTGGTCGGGAGTTCAAGACCAGCCTGACCATGGTCAGGCTGTCTCTACTAAAAATACCAGGCATGTTGGGGTATGCCTGTAATCCCAGCTACTTGGCAAGGCTGAGGCAGGAGAATCCCTTGAACCTGGGAGGCGGAGGTTGTGGTGAGCCAAGATGACGTCACTGTCCTCCAGCCTGGGCAATAAGAATAAATAGATAAATGAAAGAATTATGTAATGGACTCTGGGCACTCAGTGGGAAGAGTGGGGAGAGGAGTAGAGATGAAAGACTACACTGTTGTACCCCAGCGAGTTAGAAAAACACCACACTTTGAGACAAATTTGAGTCCTTTATTAGCCGGCAACTGAGAGATGGCTAACGCTGGAAATTCTCTCCACCCTGAGGAAGGGCTTGATTTTCTTTTATATTTCCAGGGTAGCAAGGGCAGGGGAGCTTGAATTATAACAATGCTACAGAAGTAAAAACATGTAAAAAGTTAAAGACAAATGGTTACAGAGAAACAAACAGTTTCCAGGTGCAGGAGCTCTTAAGTCTTTCCATAAGATCATGTTGATATGTTGAGAGTCTGCTTATACAAGTTAACTCCTTGAGGAAGGGGGTGGGTAAGGAGTCCTTGAAGCTTTGCAAATGATGGAGCCAAATGGAGGTTCATCCGGCTTTTCAGCTAAGGAGAGCTTATTCCTTAATAGAAACAAATGAGTGATTAAGGAAAAGGAGAGTCTAAAAACAAAAGAGTTAGTGAAAAAACAAAGTTAGGTATTACAACACAATGTATTACAGCGAACATTTGCTTGGGAAGTTAGTTTACCTAAATCTCAGAAATCACCACAAAGGAAACATCCATTATAACCAAATACTACCTATACCCCAAAACTATTGAAATATAATAATTTAAGACCAAAAATAAAAAATCCCCAAACTCCGTAAGTTTAAGTTTATATGCTTTAGCTTTTTTTTTAAATTTAATTAATTTAATTTAATTTAATTTTTAGAAAGGGCTCACTCATCACCCAGAATGGAGTGCAGTGGCTTGATCAGGGCTCACTGCAGCCACAACCTCCTGGGCTCAGGCGATCCTCGTCTTGGCCTGAGCTGGTGCACTACAGGTTCAGGTCACCATGCTAAATTAGCTGGGCGTAGTAATGGTGCCTTAACCCCACCTACTCTGGAGGCTGAGGCAGGAGAATCACTTGAACCCAGGAGGCGGAAGTTGCAGTGAGCTGAGATCATGCCACTGCACTCTAGCCTGGCTGACAGAGCAAGACTGTCTCAAAAAAAAAAAAAAAAAAAAAAATTAAGGTTGTTTCAAGTTAAAAAACAAAAAGTCTATTAAAATAAAATAGAAAAAGTCAAAAAACATTGATTATAAAATATATATGAAAATCTAGGGTGTTCAAAAATGACGTTTGATGGATTTATTTATGAGTTTTACTAAAATTAGGTTTAGTTTTTGTTTTGTTTTGTTTTTTGAGATGATATTTCACTCTTGTTGCCCAGGCTGGAGTGCAATGGCCCAATCCTGGCTCACTGCAATCTCCATCTCCTGGGTTCAAATGATTCTCCTGCCTCAGCCTCCTGAGTAGCTGGGATTACAGGCGCCCACCACCACGCCCCACTAATTTTTGTATTTTTTTAGTAGAGAAGGGTTTCACCATGTTGACCCGTTGGTCTTGAACTTCTGACCTCAGTGATCCCGCCCCCTAGGCTACCTCCCAAACTATTGGGATTAAAAGTGCTCATATCTTCGACCAATATTGATAACACACTATTACTAAAAGTAAAAATTGGTTTACTCTTAGACAAAAGGAGTTTATGTATTATTAACATGTCAGTAAATACATCTGTTCACAATTCGAATACATTTAAAAGAGAGAGTAAGGAGAGAGAGAATTTTTCTCTGGGGTGGGCCTAGCTCAGCTCAGGAGAGCCTGCCTGAGGAAGGCTGCACCTAGGCTGGCACTCTTTCTTCATTCAGCCCTGCCTCTGATCACATCTTCTGTCACTCAGGGCCTGAAGGGACGGGGCCTTAAACATTATCCAATCAGGGACGCTGGGCTGGGAACGTCAATCAGGCACGCAGCTGGAGGGGACAGGGGGCGGCTTCGGGACGTGGTTTGAACCTTTGACTCTCGCTGCGTGAGAGGTCAAGGTGCTTCGCTTTTATTGCTGTGCGTCCTCCTCTAGAGCCCACCTGTGTGGCCGCTGCGACCTGCCTGTGTTGAGAGATCCTGGCAAGAGTCGCCAGGACCCCCTGGAACCCTAGAAATGGTGAGTGTGCCCGGTCTGACAGCCCGAGACTGGCGGGGCTGGTTGGAACCGATTGGGAAGTGGCTGTGGCGGTCTCTGGCCTCCCGCAGTCAGCTCCACATCTGCGCCCAGGTTCTCTCCTTGCCTAGCTGGACCTCAGTCTCCTTTAGCCATAAGATGGCGGCTGCGCTGACTTAGCGGTCCCAGGGTCTGTCTCTTCCTGCACTGTAGGCTGTGCCCTGGCCTGGAGCCAGGGGCTAGTCTTCAGGGCAGCTGTGCACCCGCAGCGCGGAGTCTCTCCCAGATGTGCAGGGACCATGGGAGGGTCGTCGGAGAATCCTGACTCAGGGTGTGGTTTCATGAATGGGAAAGGCTTTGGTCCGTGAGGTTCCCAGTTCCTGCCTTCTATTAAAAATTTATGGAAGTCACCGCAAAAATATTAAAGAGATTTAATCAGAGTGATTCCAAAATTGTAGAGGCACCCAGCTATGGAGTTTGTAGTTATAGTCTATTGAAGGAGTTTAGCGGAAAAAAGAGTTTTATAAGGTGCATAATGAAGAAAACCACATTCAATAATTAGTTAGAGTACAATTCACATTAGTTTCTTTTCTACTTTTTTTTAAATCAATAAATATTATTCAAGAATTCCATGTTGTGATTTCTTCCACTGTCCATCAAGGTCACTTTAGGTCTCTGAGCTGAGTCAAAAGATTTATCTTCAGTTACTCTTTTAATGGAACTGATCCAGTTGTCCTGTCAGCCCTACATAACAATAATATAAAGTAAATTCACATTTCCAGAGATGATTGTACAGAGTAGACATGAATGAGTCCTGGAACCAGCCTGAGTTAACTCTGCTACAAACTGCTTGGTTATTAGCAACCCTGAGGTTACAATACAAAGGCAAAGCACATTTGCATGGTCAGCCGATCTAGGAGAATTTTTAAATCATTGATTACTGACGAAATAGTTATTAGAAAAAAAGAAAAAAATCACCTGTGGTTCACATTATATTTGTATTGCATTTCTATTACAGTTAATCAGAAACTACAATTCACGTAGTTTGTTTTGTTTTATTATTATTATTTTTGAGACCGGAGTCTTCCTCTATCCACCCAGGCTGGAGTGCATTAGCCACGATCTTGGCTCACCGCCAGCTGTATTCCCTGCACTCAGCCTTGCGAATAGCTGGGACTACAGCCGCCCCACCACCTAGCCTGGCTTTTTTTTTTTTGTATTTTTAGTAGAGACAGGGTTTCACCGTGTTATTTTTTAGTAGAGACGGGGTTTCACCGTGTTAGCCAGGATGGTCTTCCTCTCCTAACCTCGTGATCCGCCCACCTCGGCCTCCCAAAGTGCTTGGATTATAGGCGTGAGCCACCGAGCCCGGCCTTGTAGTTTCTTAATTTGTAATATCAAGATGGTAATTTCTTGGTTATGTAATCAGAAGTTAATTGGCAGTTCATAGTGTGTTAAGCCTGAATTTTTTTTCCCCCAATGTAGTAATTTACAAAAAATGCATTTGTATTAGATTTTTTTTTTTTTTTTTTTTTTGAAACCGAGTCTCACGCCCAGGCTAGAGTGCAATGGTGCCATCTGGGCTCACTGCAATCTCCGCCTTTCAGGTTCAAGTGATTCTCCTGCCTCAGACTCCCAAGTATCTGGGATTACAGGCATGTCCCACCATGCCCAGCTAACTTTGTATTTTTAACAGGGACGGGGTTTCACCATTTTGGTCAGGCTGGTCTCGAGCTCCTGATTTCAAGTGATCCACCTGCTTCGGCCTCCCAAAGTGCTGGGATTACAGGTGTAAGCCGCCGCGCCTGGCCGAAGTAGATTTTTTAAAAGTAGAAATTAGGAACTAGAGCCAGCCACTTAATTATTTTCACACCCCACAAGGAACTGCTGTTTCCTTGCATTTTTCACATGTGTCCCAAGCAGGGCCTCAAGTCATTCCGCCACCCCAATTTCTCCAGCCTGACTCTGGCTTGCAGTAAAATACTTAATTTCCACTTCCTTCTGACATTCCCAAATGACAATTTCCCTTCCCTTATTCACATTATCAACTGTTTGTCCTTTAGTGTACATTTTGATACCTATTTTAATCATTTTTTGACAAAGCATTTGATGGCACATTTAAAAGATTTTTTTTCTGTTTGTAAATATTTCTTCTGTTTTCCCTAGACACAGATATCATAATGTTTTTGGGTCAAGGTTTCCCTTTGGAAACTTTATAGGGAGATGTGTCCTCAGCCACCTTTCAGTTTTTTCTTGGACCTGAGATTCAGTACTGTCTGGGGAAAAACCAGGATACCTGCCATGGCTATGTCTGCGAGAGTGTCTAGTGAATATCAGTTCCTGGGTCATTTTCTCCCATAAGACAACCTGAGGTATGGAGTATAGCCGCTCATCTCCCGTAAGACAACCTGAGATATGGAGTGTAGCCTCTCGAGAGCAGGTGAATGCCCTGGGGCTGAGAGGCATCTTCTGGTGCGCTGTGTTTTTGGAAAGCTACCCCCTTGAGGTATGAATATTGTCTTTACCAACCCAGCTTCCATTTCTTGGAGAGACATTGTTGTTCAGACAATCAGATGCTGGTATTGAAGGGGAAACCAAAATAATTTTTGCCCCTGGATTCTCTTAGGGGACAGAAAAATAGTGAAATAAAAATGGCAAAAAGTTTGTGGAAAAGAATAGCACTCCAAAGACAAAGAAAAAAACTGACCCCAGTGAGATGGTGCAAGAACTTGCAAAGTAAAATGGGGCAGTCACTGGGGCAGAGTTCAGAGGATGATTATTGAGCACTTAAGTGAACAGGATGGGGTGGGAGAATCTCTAAAGTAATTGGATGGCCTGACTTGACACAAGAGTCAGACATATCTGTACCTTCGAATGATTTTGTTCACTTATTTTGACCTCAGTTTTTTTTTTTTTTTTTTCACATAGTCTCATTCTGTTGCCCAGGCTGGAATGCAGTGGCACAGTCTCTGCTCACTGCAACCTCCACCTCTCAGGTTCAAGCAATTCTTCTGCCTCAGCCTCCAGAGTAGCTGGGACTACAGGCGCACACCACCATGCCCAGCTAATTTTTGTATTTTTAGTAGAGACAGAATATCACCGTATTGGTCAGGCTGTTCTCGAACTCTGACCTCGTCATCCATCCGCCTCGGCCTCCCAAGGTGCTGGGATTACAGGCATGAGCCACCAAGCCCGGCCGTTTTTTGTTTGTTAGTTAGTTTGTTTTTTTTAAGACAGTGTTTTCCTCTGTCACCCAGGCTGGGTGCAGTGGTGCAATCTCTGACTCACTGAAACCTCCTCATTCCGAGTTCAAGTGATTCTTATGCCTCAGCCTCCCAAGTAGCTGGGACTACAGGTACCTGCCACCACACCTGGCTACTTTTTGTATTTTTAGTAGAGATGGGGGTTCGCCATGTTGACCAGACTGTTTGAGCTCAAAATTCTGACCTCAAGTAATCTGCCATCCTTGGCCTCCCAAAGTGCTGGGATTGCAGATGTGCCCAACTGACCTCAGTTTTTTAACTGTAAGTTGCATTTTATTAGTAGGTCTTGAAAGGTAAGAAAATATTTACAAAGGGTATAAAAAAGGTGAGTTTCAAAAAAAAAAAATCTAATTATATATTTTATTTGTTGGAAATTGTCATTCACCTTTTTCTTTCTCAGAGCGAATTTAGGAGTTTTTTCAGGTTTTTTTTTTGTTTGTTTGTTTGTTTTGTTTTTTTTCTTGGAGACACAGTCTCACTCTGTCACCCAGGCTGGCGTGCAGTGGTGGGATCTTGGTCACTGCAAGCTCTGCCTCCCGGGTTTATGCCATTCTCCTGTCTTAGCCTCCCGATCAGCTGGGATCAGCTGGGACTACCGGCGCCCGCCACCACACGCAGCTAATTTTTTTGTATTTTTAGTAGAGATGGGGATTTACCATGTTAGCCAGGATGGTCTCCATCTCCTGGCCTCATGATCCCCCTGCCTTGGCCTCCTAAAGTGCTGGGATTATAGGCGTGAGCCACCGCGCCCGGCCCTTAGGTGTGTTTTTTTATGACTGATTAATTTCAAACAGATTTCCATCTAGCTTTTACAATGGTAGCTACTGAGGAAAAAAATAAAATTTTTTCTTCCATTTTCTTCCATTTCCATTAATATATTTCCACAAGAAAATGTGGTAGATAATTGATAAGTTACATAGATTCATGGAAACATCAGTTTCTTTCTTTGCGGGGTGAATTTGCAAAAATAAATGTTTGTTCTATGTCCTTTTTGATTTCTGAATTTAATGGTAAATTTTATGTGATGAAACTTGGTACCTCCTAGAAGTGTTCCCGTATAACTTTTTACCACATGATTTTTTAATACAAAAAATAAAATCATGCTTTATTGTCCAAAAAAAAAAAAAAGAAAAAGAAATACATTTGCTTCTCTTACTGAGGTACAAAAGGTAAGCATCTTAACATTTTTCTTACATGAACACTGTTTTTGAATCATTTTGCTGGATTTTTCAAACAGTTTCAAAAACTAAGTAAATGACTCTGACATGGTAATTAAAGCTTGAGCCCAATGACTACAAGATAAGGTTAATTTTGAGCCAGCAAAAGGAGGTTATTAAAGGCCCAGTTAGTTCCTTCTGGAAAACCTTTCCTGCAGATGTCCCAGCCTGCTCACCCCAGCAGTGGAAGAAGCCTCCATAGTGAGAGAAGCTACAGAGCCCTGGAAAGCTGGGGCCCCACAGGCAGATGCAGTTAAGGTTAAGAAAGAAGGGGTTTGGGGGTCTTACTGAAGATAAAATTGTTACTGTTTTGAGGCAGTTTCGAGAGGTTTTAAAATAAACCAGTTAGACGTATATTTAAAAAAAAAAAAAATTGTATTCCAAAGGAGTATTGCAAAAGGAGGAAGTACCAACTATAAGATCTTTAAGGATTGCAAAGATTAGGTAGAAAAGGACTTTTTTTCCTAGGGAAAAGCAAATAAGATTAGAAAGAAGGTGAGGGGAATGTTTAAACGAAGGGTGAAATACTCAGATTTTAGATCAGAGAATGTTTTAACCTGAAGTCAGTGTGTTCTAAGGAGTGTTCTTCAGACAGTGAATCTGCAGTAGCATAAAATGAGGTCATATGGTGGCTCAGAGTGAGTGTAGCTCAGAGTTTAGGATCCTGTTGGAAGAAAATAAACTTAAGTTTGATTAAAAAGTATTTTATGTTGACCACTGAAGGCAAATTCAGCTGATTTTTTTTAATGAGAAGAAGAAAATATGCAGAGTGTCTTCCTGGCTGTGTATTAGGTAAGTAAAGAGAGAGCACCATCTAAGTCATAATGGGAAGAGTGTTTCTTCTCATAAAATGTTCCTGGAGAACACAGAGGATAGAGAATTTTATTAATCACAGCTGTTTATTATCTATATGCATCATCTTTTCCCACCCCTTTTTTTGGTTCTATACTTTTCTTCCGTTTGACTTTTTGGGGTTTGTATATTTTATTTGAAGCCAGTAAATATAACTAGAGTGTTCTGTTGAGTTCTATGAGTAACTCTATCAGATTATTGGATTTCAGAAAGGAGAGTCCCCAATTTTTAAACAGTACCTCAGAAGCATGATGGGGCCCATGGAGTTTGTGATTGGCATCTGCAGTCAGGACAATGTTGTGGGACTGAGCCCTGAATCAGGTCTGTGCTGACTCTGGGTGGTGTCAGAATTCAAGTGTTAGACAATGAGTTGGTGTTGGAGAATTGTTGGTGTTCATCAAACTCTGCAGATTTGGTGCCAGAAGAAAAATATCAGACTCCTGGCCTGGAATGAAACTCTGGGTGTCTGGGAATGGGAGGCTCTGCTCTCCTCTACACAGACTATCACACTGCCCCTTGTTCTTTGATTTCAGATCTCCTCCCAGGGTGACAGAGGACTGAAAACTTAAAGGAGATCTGACGACAAACTCCCTTTTGTCACAGCTGCCAGCAGAGGATTTCCACCCACTCACAAACACTCACTAGACATTGATGTGTCCACACCCCTCTCAGGACAAGGCACCACCCTCAGAAATTTTACCACAGCATTTTTGATCCTAGTGGTTTTTTTGGCCAGAAACCTACAAAAGTGTCTACGAGTCTCCTGGCATATCTCTATTTTCAGACACTGAATCTGCAGTAGCAACCTGTTTTCTCCACCAGCCTAGGGTTCGCAATCTTATCTGCCTGCATGGACCCAGAAATAAATCAGAGTACAGCCCACCTGGGCCACTACCTGTAGCACAAACCAGTCCTTCTACCTGCCTTGTACTCTCTCCAACCCAGGGACTTTTTTTTCTTTTAACTTTTATTTTTGGTTGGTTCAAGGGTACACGTGCAGCTTTGTCATACAGCTAAAATTCTGTCATGGGAGTTTGGTGTGCAGATTATTTTGTCCCTGCAGTACTAATCATAGCACCAAAAAGGTATTTTTTCTGACCCTTTTAGTCCTCCCACTCTTCACCCTCAATAAGGCCTCAGTGTCTTTTTTCTCCTCTGTGTTCTTGTGTTATTATTTAGCTCTTACATATAAATAATATGCATTTGGTTTTCTGTTTCTGCATCAACTTTCTAAGAATAATGATCTCCAGCTTCATCCATGTTGCTGCAAAGGACATAATCTTGTTTTTTTTTTGTTGTTGTTCTGGTAGAATTCAACTGTGAATATGTCTGGTCCTGAGCTTCACTTAGTTGGTAGGCTATTTATTACTAATTCAATTTTTTGAGCTTATCTATGTATTTAGGGCTTTGATTTTTTTTTGTGTGTGTGTATTCAGTCTTGAGAAGCCTTGAGAAATTCAATAATTTTTTCATTTCTTCTAGATTTTTATTTGTTTGTTTATGTACATGGCAGACTTCAGTATATTTTTGTGGGGTTAGTGGTAATGTTATTTTCTAATTGTGTTTATTTGTATCTTCATTAATCTAGCTAGTAGTTTATTTACTTTTTTAAAAAAATAGATTTAATACCTGGATTTCTTGGTATTTTGTAGTTTTTCATGTCTAAATCTCCTTCATTTCAGATCTGACTTTGGTTGTTTCTTGCCTCTTGCTAGCTTAGGGGCTGATTTGCTTTTATTGCTCTCAGTCTTTTATTTATGGATTCAGGTTGTTAAACTGAGATCTTTCTTTTTGATTGAGGATTTAATGCTATAAATTTTTCTTTTAACACCGCCTTAGCTGTATTGCAGGGATTCTGATGTGTTGTACTTTAGTTCTTACTTGTTTTAAAACACTTTTTGATTTCTGCCTTAATTTCATTATTTACCAAAAAGTTATTTAAGTGTAGGCCATTTAATTTTTATTTAATTATTTAGTTTCCAGTTGTTTTATTGGTATTGAATCATATTTTTCTTTTCTTTCTTTTTTTTTTTTTTTTTTTTTTTTTTGAGACAGAGTCTCGCTCTATCGCCCAGGCTGGAGTGCAGTGGCCGGATCTCAGCTCACTGCAAGCTCTGCCTCCCGGGTTCACGCCATTCTCCTGCCTCAGCCTCCCCAGTAGCTGGGATTACAGG